AATTCTATACACTAATACATAATAAAGTAACCGAGTTACTAGAATGATTTAGGTTACATTATATCATGTTCAACAATTCACATGGCAATGCATTAATATATAAGTAATTACATATGTAAGCATCATGGCTCCTTCCCTTGAATGAGTTCTTGCTGGTGTAGGCTGAGGCTGGCCAGGACCAAACAGACACCATAGAGTGTGTACAATTTCTCATGGGAAGCAAAATCCAGAACTAGGGCAGGGGGTGAGGATGTCAGATCGATTTTAACTATTTCCATTCCTTTTCTTTGTTTTATTTTCCTATGAACAAAGTGCTGGTTCCCAGGGCCCCCGAGGACACAGAAAGGTCCAGCTGTGGTTGATGACTCTTGGGCCCCACAGGAGTGCCCAGACTGCCAGGTGCCAAGCCAGGGCTTTCAGCTCTGAGACCACCTTGCCAAAACAGGGCTTCTGGGCTCCAGGCTTGCAGCCCAGTGCTGGGCTTCCTCCAGCTTGCTGGCAGCTGGTGTCCAGAAAACTGAATATGTCATTTTCCTGCCTGCCTGCCCATATTTGGGCACAGTTTATCAAAAATCACCCACCTGGGGCCATGCTGTGGTCTCAGAAATGCTCATTAGGTTGTGGCCTTGATGAGCAGCACCTGGGCTGAGCTCCTCCTGAGCTACCAGAGACACTGTCTGCTCCCAGGATCTGGTGCTGGCTAATGAGCAAGTACAAGTGGGAAAACACTCTCCTTGTTGAGCATTCAGAGAAAGTTGCCAAGCAGAATTGTAATCTGGATGGAGCATTATTACTATGACTAACACTGTGACCTACAAGCATTGTCCCTAATGCTGTGGCCCTACAAGCATTGTAGGTCCTAAGTGAGTCCTTCCATGAACTGGGGGTCATTTCCCACAGGGAAATGTACAGGGATTGTGCACACCCAAGCAGGCTCTGGCTCGGAGTGTGTGACTGTGAGTGTGCTACAGAAAATGGAGCAGGATGTTGCTCTCTGATTCCTTAAATGCACTAGATTGGTAAGTCAGGCCTGCGAGTAACTGTCATGCTTCTAGTAAATTCTACAGTCCTTTGTTAAATTCTTTAATTTAGGCTATTAATTCAGTGCCAATATGTTTAAGTGCTGTTAAAATCTTCAGGCTAAAGCTTTGGTCAAGTCTGGGGCTACGTTTTGCAGGGAGGTCCAGTCTGAACCCTCTAACTCAGTGACAGGGTCTCCCTTATCCCTTTGCATCCTCATCCTTGCCCATTCTTCCTCTTTCTCCTGTCTTCAGCCTCCACATATATTACTTTAATTTGATTTTAATTTTAGATTGATTGATCTAGATTTTGATCTCTGTGCTTGGACTGTGACTAGTAGAGTGAAGCATGCCAATGAACTTAGTTGCACTTTCACTTTTATATTAAACCTGATTTGGTAATACCTTTTCCAGTGATTCTTTGAGCAATGTAAAACATCCGTTTGTGACAAACATTTTTAGTTAATTAAAATTCTTCTATTAGAATTCTTCTACCATGAAACTTTCTCCTGGTCCATATCCAGGTAGCCTAGCTGTCAGTGAAATACAGGAGAGGGTTATCAAGAAGTGTGATAAACAAATATGCCATGTGCATATGCAAACATCTTCTGTGTTTTATAATAAAATTTGTGCTTCATGGATGTGTTGCCTGCTCTGGCTTTCCACTCTCCTTCACTTTCAGCAGAAACTTCTTGATGCCAGTAGTTGTTTTTCTATCCAACCAAGAGTATCCATGGTGATGTTTATAAGAAAAAAATCTAATTATCTTCATAAAAGTGTTCTTCCAAGAGCTGGTTTGATACGCAGGGGTTTTTTTGGGGTTTTTTTTGGTCAGTGATTCATGTTGGCTATCAAGCTCAACAGCACAATGCAGGCAAGGATGTAAGGAGGAATAAGAAAGGGGACATATAGAGCTGCAAGAACTACAGAAGTGGTACTGTTTCAGCAGCAGGAGTGCTGGTATAGACACGAGTGTACACTGCCTCTCCATCTCACAGAATTAACCCAACAACAGGACTGTGAAGAGCAGTAAACTCCTCAAGAGTGGGTGCTCAGTACACAAGCTTTTCTGAGGCTGCATGGCAAAGACTGAGTATTAAGAATGCGGATGAGGTAGGGGAGAAAGAAAGCAACAATAATTAGAATCTTACCACGGGCAAACAAAGCTCGAAAGCATCTGTGGACATTCTCCCAACTTCGTTTTTGAAAGAGAAGGTTCAAGAGTAACTGAACTTGGAATGTTGTTTGTCTTAGTGGCTTATTCATACTATTTATCCAGCTCTTAGTCATGATGGCTTCTCATTGATCCTGACGTGCACTTTTAAAAAATAGCAAGGCACAAATCCCCCTCACACTGCTCCTGGAACCTTCTCTCTCTGTGATGCCGAGCTCAGTGCTGCGCAGCTGGATGCTGTGGCTTGCTGCTCCTCGTCCGGCCGTGGCGGCTCGTTTGGCTGCCAGCTCACCTCACCTGCCCTGCCGGGGCGCGGCTCTCACCTGGCGGCTCTCACCTGGCCGCTCTCTCTCACCTGGCGGCTCTCACCTGGCCGCTGTGTGCTCGCACAGGGTCGGTGAGGCGGCCGTGCCTCGCCAGGGCTCTGCAGGGTCTCACACACCCCTCGTCTGGTGCACTCCAAAAACCCCCCTGGAGCCTCTGGGGAGCATCAGGAGGTGCTGTGGGTCACAGATGTGTGTGCAACACCCCGTGAGCACCGGCACAGGCAGCAGCGGCTGCAGGAGAGCGCAGCGATGGGAGGGGAAGGGAAGGGAAGGGAAGGGAAGGGAAGGGAAGGGAAGGGAAGGGAAGGGAAGGGAAGGGAAGGGAAGGGAAGGGAAGGGAAGGGAAGGGAAGGGAAGGGAAGGGAAGGGAAGGGAAGGGAAGGGAAGGGAAGGGTAGGAAGGGAAGGGAAGGGAAGGGAAGGGAAGGGAAGGGAAGGGAAGGGAAGGGAAGGGAAGGGAAGGGAAGGGAAGGGAAGGGAAGGGAAGGGAAGGGAAGGGAAGGGAAGGGAAGGGAAGGGAAGGGAAGGGAAGGGAAGGGAAGGGAAGGGAAGGGCTGCTCCAGGGCAGCCACGCTCCGTGAGCTGCAGACCTCCTGCCATGAACCCAGGGAAGGCCGTGGGCAGGGCCCACCCGCATTTCCGCAGAACTTTCGGCACTGTTCCCAGGCGATCCCCGCAGGACCTCTGCCAGAAGCGAAGAGGCTCAGGCAGCTGCTCCTGGACAGCCTGGAAGAGACAGCGCCCAGAAGGGGTCTCACTCTGCAGCAGAGGAGATGCACACACACAGAGCTGCATCCTTCCCAGCAGCGCTGCCCGACACGGGAAGAGCCGACGGCACAAACCGAGCCCAGGCTCTGCCTCTGAGCCCACGAAACCCTTTGTCACTGTGAGGGCCACCGAGCACCGGCACAGGCTGCCTGGAGAGGTGCGGGTCTGTCCTTGGAGGCATTAAACAAATAGTGGCAGCGTGTTCCTGGGTGATCAGGAGGCTTGGACTGGATGAGCTCCAGAGATCCCTTCCAGCCTCCACCAGGCTGTGTTGTTGTGAAGGTGTCCTAAGTTTGCATGAAACCAAGTGTCTTTGACTGTGCCTTGAAATTTCACAGGATTCTAGCCTGTGAAACTCACCAGGAATTTCTGCCAAGTCGAACTCGGTCACACCCGAGGGAAGCATCTCCTCGGGCTGAGCTGCGTCTCAGCCCCGTTACATCCCTGGCTGGGTGTCTGGAAGCAGCGCGGCGGTGAGGAGGGTGTTCTGGGGCTGTCCCCCGCTGGCTGTGCCGGCAGGAGGTCACCCAGCACAGCCAGGGACCCCTGGGTGCTGCCTCTGTCCGGAGCCCCCACCGCGCCGGGGCAGTCCCCGGAGGTGCTGCGGGCTGGGGCGCGGGAGGGAACGGGATGGGGGTCAGGGGGTGTGGGGTGACGGGGTGTGGGGTGGCGGGCTGTGGGGTGGCGGGGTGTGGGGTGACGGGGTGTGGGGTGACGGGGTGTGGGGGCTCTGAGCTGTGGGACAGTGTGAGAGAAGGGGGGTGCAGGTGTGAGGGTACCTGGGTGACAGGAGGGGTGAGGGGTGGGCAAGAGCAGGGTGGTGTGAGGTCTGAGGGCTGTGTGGGGTTTGTAAAGTCTGAGGGGTGTGGGGGGTGTGAAGGATATTTGGGGTGGGAGAGGTTTTGAGGGATGTGAGGGGTCTGAGGGGTGTGTGGGGTTTGTAAAGTCTGAGGGGTGTGTTTCGTGTGGAGGATATTTGGGGTGGGAGAGGTTTTGAGGGATGTGAGGGGTCTGAGGGGTGTGTGGGGTTTGTGAAGTCTGAGGGGTGTGGGGGGTGTGAAGGATATTTGGGGTGGGAGAGGTTTTGAGGGATGTGAGGGGTCTGAGGGGCGTGTGGGGTTTGTAGGGTCTGACAGGTCTGAGGGGTGTGTGGGGTACAAGGAGGGTGAAGGATAGGATGGCTGTGAGTGGTCTGAGGGGTGTGTTTGGTGTGGAGGATATTTGGGGTGGGAGAGGTTTTGAGGGATGAGGGGTCTGAGGGGCGTGTGGGCTGTGTGGGGTACGAGGAGGGTGAAGGTTGTGAGTGTGAAGGGTATTTGGGGTGTGAGAGGTGTTCGGGGTGCTGGGGTGCGGCTGCGGAGGGGGCCGGGGGGCAGCAGGCGTGTGCAGCCGTGGGGTGCCGAGGCCGTGGGTCCGGATCCCGTGGGTGCGGATGCCGTGGGTCCGGATCCCGTGGGTGCGGATGCCGTGGGTCCGGACGCCGTGGGTCCGGATGCCGTGGGTCCGGATGCCGTGGGTCCGGATGCCGTGGGTCCGTGCCCGCGGGCACAGGGCGGGACCGCGGTGCGGGGGTGGGCTCGGGGGTGGGGGCTGCGAGGGGCAGCGCAGCCCCGCCGAGGCCGGGGGCGGTGCCGGGGGCGGCGCTCGGTGTCCCGGCGCTGCCGAACGCCCCGGTGCCGCCAGCTCCATCCCGTCCATCCGCACTCGGTGTCCCGGTGCCGCCGAGTGTCCCGGTGCCGCCAGCTCCATCCCGTCCTGTGCCCGCACTCGGTGTCCCGGCTGTACCGAGTGTCCCGGTGCCGCAGCAGCGGCGGCTCCATCCCGTCCTGTGCCCGCACTCGGTGTCCCGGCTCTACCGAGTGTCCCGGTGCCGCAGCAGCGGCGGCTCCATCCCGTCCGCAGCTCCATCCCGCCGCCGCCTCGCCGCTGACACGCGGTAAAGTACTTAAACTCATTCTCGCTGCCTTTATCCAGCGCTCGCGGTGTCGGCGTGCTGCTGTCCGCGCTTCTCTCTCTCCGCCGGGAAGTTTGCGGTCCCCGCTTTTCCCCGGCTCCGCTTCAGGGAGCCGCTCGGAGCCGTCAGGTTGTGGTGGAAACTTTGGGGTGGTGGTGGTGGTGGTGGAGCGGTTCTGGCAGCGTTGGAAAGGTGATTTTTGTAAATCCAAAGTAGCTCGTACGTGGTAAATTGATACTAGCAAAACAAGTACTACCCTGACGGAATTTGCCAGGTTTAACGTGTATATGAAGAAACCGAAGAGCTTGTACTCTTTCAGTGTGAAAGCACGTCTTTTTTTCCGAGATGAGAATCAATGACAATTTCAGTGGAATGATTCTAGACTCTCTAAACACAACTGGGAGAGCTTGTTTAACTGTGAGGGTGCTGAGGCTCGGAGGGCAGGAGATCTGTCTCTCACATTAAACAGGTGAGGAATACTTTGCAAGAACTCCTTCATTCCTATCAGGCATTCATGACACTGCTGCCTGTGTTTATTTGTTATAACGTCGATGGGCTCTTTGCCCCTCAGTGCTGTGATTAGACTATTAGATTCAGAACTAGGATTTCATACTATGAGGTGCCTGGTGCTATTTTCTCTCAGAGTACTTTCCAGGACAATGTTACTGTTTGGAAACAAAGCTAAACACTTTCTAAATAGCAAAGTGCAGGAATATAATTTGCACAAGAATAAGATGAATTTGTGGGTGATTTTACAGACCAGCCCATGATTCAGTGTCACACACTGAGTTCCATAAGTTCCTCGTTCCTCAGAATGCTTTAAAGCTTGAAGCTGCTTTCAAAGTTTACCTTCACAGGTGAGAGGCACCTGCGTGAGTCCTGGTAGCCTGGGAACTCATGGAGTGCTTCTGACATAGCAGTTCATTACATTTAGGAATGTTGTAGAGTCTCAATCTGTTCAGCACCGATCTGCGATCAATTATCCCATAAATCACTCTTTTAGGGAATCTGCTTGGCCGGTGGTCTTTCACTTCAAAAAAGCCAGGTGTGGGGTTTTTGGAGCAGGTTGTAGCCAGACCAGGTGTGATATGATTAGCGGATGAAGCTGTGGCTCTCATCCAGCACTCGGAGTGTGTTCTGCATTATGTTGTTCCGGCTGTGAACCTTTAACACTGTCTTTTGATTGTACAGCATCTGATTCTGAAGTATTCCTGTGCTTCTCTTCTGCATTTCACGAATCTTCTCTTCACTTTTCTCTGCACAGAAACGTCTCAGGCTTTCTCCAGGCAAGTTCATACCTGCCAGCTCCATGCACTCCTAACTTTCCAACTTCAACTATAGTCTTAGGTCAGCCTTCCAGCCCCTCAGACCAGCAGTCCTGTGGAAGTCGGTGGAAACAGTGAATTTCAGCAACAGGAGGGGTTAGATGAGATATCACAAAAGCAGCCTCACCTTCAGCCCTGACCTGCTGCTCCACTTCAGGTAGCATTATTCTCTTTCCACACCTGTTTTATATTTAATGTTCTTTTGGCAACAAAAGGCATTTCTACAGATGAAATGGCTTATGTAATAAAAGCTATATGCCATCACTTATGTAAAGTTAAGCATCAGAAGAGCTTTAGATATATACAGAAGAAATGTAAAATCACCAAAAACTTCCGGGTAGATCAAAACCAGGGAAGAACACCATCAGAATTCCAGCATGTGTGTTTTCTACCAGGTATTTCTCTGCAGTTTCCTTCTGGAAACCTAAATGCACAAATTGATTGTGCATTATAAATGTATAAAAGTCTTTGCAATAATCTTGAATACATTACTTGTCAAAAGTACATAATAATGATTTGCACTTTAATGAAAGCTGAGATAGACAGTATTGAGTCCTGTACTTTTAGCATAATGGAGTGAATCCCTAAATTAATTTCCATGCAACTACCTTTTAAAAATGTTTCATCAAGATAGAGGAGTGAAAAAAGCAAGCCACCAGTCGAAGTCAGATTTCCTCCCCAGGTTTACAGGGAGTAAATCTGAGTCTCTTTTTTTTTTTTTTTTTTTGCTTGTTGGACTTTTAGAACAAAGTATATTGAGATCATCCTTTGATTTTGGTATTCACAGTACAATAAAATGAAATTACTGCTTTTCAGTTAATCACCAGAACAATACTAGTGTTTTCAGTGATGAATAGAAATGATTAATTAATTACAAGTAAACCATGTAAACATTTTTATTTCTCTAGAAATACATTGTAAATAAATTAATCATTTAATGCATATCTAATCTTGTATTGCTCTGTGGAGAGCAATATTAAAGACTGATTTTTTTTTCCTCTAAATGTTTTCCTTATACACAGGTAAGCAAGCACATACAAGACATAGAAGCACATACAAGACATAGAAGCACATACAAGACCTAGAAGTTTTAATTGCATGTCTGCAGGTATACATTCTTATATGAACGGATAATGTTATTTGCGCTACATTAAGCTCTTAATTTTTTGTGTGAAACCTCCTGATTTTGTTTGATGCTGTCAAATGTTTCTTTTGTTGTAGAGCTGATACTGTCTGCTCAGGCAGAGGGCTGTGTGAAGGACAGTCAAGAAGTAAGAAGGTGACAGTCATGCTTTAATCTTATATAAACACTGTAATTATATCGAAGGGTTTTTTAAAAGTTTTTAACACATTTGTTGTAAGTCTAAAGGGCGGGAAAACCTTTCTTCTTTTCTTCCCTTCGTATTTTTTTTCACAAAACACGCAGGAGCAATTAGCAGAGTTAAGGCCTGTTTTATTATTCTTTCCCTTCTCTTTCTCGGTGCGTTTCCCTGGGCAGCCCGGCGCGGCTGTGAGGCCTGGGCAGAGCAGGAGGATGGAGGCCGCGGACGTGCCGCCCGAGGGTTACTCGCTGATCAAGGCGGTGTACCAGCGGCGGCTGCGCCTGACGCGGCTGCTGATCGACGGCGGGGCCTACGTCAACGAGAGCAACAGCCGCGGCCAGACGCCGCTGATGGTGGCCTGCATGACCCCGCACGCCGACCTGCAGAGCGCCAGCAAGGCCAGGATGGTCAAGTACCTGCTGGACAACAAGGCCGACCCCAACATCCAGGACAAGTCTGGGAAGACGGCGCTGATGCACGCCTGCCTGGAGAAGGCCGGGCCCGAGGTGGTGTCCCTGCTGCTGATGAGCGGCGCCGACCCCAGCCTGCCCGACCACTCCAACCGCTCCGCGCTGGTGTACGCCATCAACGCCGCCGACAGAGACACCCTGGAGCTGCTGCTCAAGGCCTGCAAGGCGCGAGGGAAAGAAGTCATCATCATCACCACAGACAAGTCCGCCTCAGGCAGGCAGAAAACGAAGCAGTACCTGAACGTGCCTCCTCCAGACCTGGCGGAATGCACCTCCCTGGCTGATTGCGCCTCCCTGTCAGACATAGAACCAAACGAGGGTCCAGAAGACCCTTTCAGCTTTAAAGAGCTGTATGGTGGGCAACAGGGGGACAGCTCATCTGAAAGAGTGCCTCTAATGAGCAAATCCAGCTCCACACCAGCACGGTTCAAGCTGACGCAGGTGCTGCAGTGTGATCCGTGGCTGAAGTGCTGTCCAGCAGTGTTTCAGCAGAGGAAAATTGCTTCTCCACAAGAACTTCAGTGTATCAGTCCCATGGAAGAGCTCTCCTGTAAAGTCACCGGCCTCGACTTGTGCAAGAGTGTCACCACCGGTCACAAAAGCAGAGACAGGAAGGACACTGCTCAGGTGCTGAAAACCCCTGATCAAACCATGTCAAGGAAAGCACTGCGTGATGCAGTAAACTATCAGACTCCTCTTGTTGAAGAGAAACATAACCCCAGTGAGATTCCCATGGGCATGGATGCCAGTTTGGGACAAATCAGCTTACTTTCAAACCTTGGTAGTATTCTCAAGAAAGGAAGTGGAGAACCAAATTACAACATCTCCAGTTCTCAGTTAACTAACACTCTAGTTCCTGCTGCTGATACCAAAGGTAGTAAGTCACCAAAAGGAAATAAAGAGATTCTGCCCACATACCAGACTTTGTTACCAAGTCCAAGAAGAGTTCTGGAGATGTCTCCTGTTTCTCCAAGAGGCAGCAATCAGGCTCCTCTAGAGGAAGAGGGCTCAGGAGCCCTAGTGTTGGATCAGATGAGGCCAGGCTTCCTGCCTCCGCTGAATGGGAGCCCCCGCCCCCCAGTCCCAGAGCTCACTGTCATAAACACAGTTTCTGGAATGATTTCTTACGGACAAACTCACTTGGTACCACCAGGATCTGCCTTCCCTAAGGGGACCAAAGAGACAAATCTGCTGCGGAGGAGGCCGTACGAGCAGATCACAGTCTGAGCAGATTCAGCAGCTACTGAATCATTAACAGGAGAGCAAAGGGGATCTTTACAATATGTAAATATTCACTGCAGTCCTTGACTGTAATGGTATGTATCACAAAATAGAGCAGGCCTGTGATGTAAAGTAATGTCTGCCTCAGGATGAGTGGGATAGCTCAGAAACTAAATGAAAAGACATCTCATGCGGCTGTCTCCTGCAAACTGTTTATTTTGCTTGTTTTGTAAAGCTTTCAACTTGGCCTGTGGCAGACAACCCACAGCAGTCCTTAAGCATGGCAGTTCTCATTGTAGGTTGTAAATACCACCCCTCCAAGCTTCCCCCAAACACACGCCCTTCCAGCACCCGGAGAGGTGGTGCCTGTGGAATTTGGGACCCTGAGGCGTTTGGCTGCGATGCTGGACACCAGATTGTGCCTGTGTCCAGGCTGTACATACGCAGAGACCCCGGAGACGGCAGCGTGCAGCGGGGCGGGTGGCAGGGGTGCACAGCTGGTGGCAGAGGTGCACAGCTGGTGGCAGGGGTGCACAGCTGGTGACACGGATGTCAGAGCTGGTGGCTCGGGTGCACAGCTGGTGGCACAGGTGCACAGCTGGTGGCACGGGTGCACAGCTGGTGGCACTGGTGTCAGAGTGGTGGCACGGGTGTTGCAGCTGGTGACACGGGTGTCGAAGCTGGTGGCACCGATGTCAGAGTGGTGGCACGGGTGTCAGAGCAGGTGATACCCGGGTGCACGGCTGGTGGCAGGGGTGTTCCAGCTGGTGACACACACGGGTGTCAGAGCTGGTGGCAGGGGTGCACAGCCGGTGGCAGGGGTGTCAGAGTGGTGGCACGGGTGTCAGAGCTGGTGGCACAGGCGTTGCAGCTGCTGCCACGGGTGTCAGAATGGTGGCACAGGTGTCGCAGGGCTGTGCTGCCCACGAACCCCAGCTGCGGGTTGGCAGTGCAGCCCGCTGTGCCCGGAGCTGTGCTGGGGCCAGGGCAGCGCTGCCAGAGCCAGCAGGGTGAGTGACCAGCCCGGGCTGTGGCACTGGCCAGCCCTGCTCAGCCGTGCCCGGGCACTGCACACCGCTGCGGCCTCTGCAATCCGCTCCCAGGGAAAAGCGAGGGTGGGCAGGCAGAGCCCGCACCCCAGACGGGCTCTGTAGCCTCCCGCAGTTCTGGAGCCCCAAAAAGAGACCTGCAGAGCAGGCTGGAGCCGCCTGCCCCAGGCACAGCCCTCCTCACCGGGCACTGCGGCACACCCAGAGTGTCTGCACAAGCATTTAGGAGCACACGTGTTTAGGAGCAGGGAAGAGCTCTGTCCTCCCGCTCAGACAGACCCAAAAGAGATAACCCAGCAACTTCAGGGAAGGTGAGGCCCTGGCACAGCTTTCCTGGAGAAGCTGTGGCTGTCCCACCCCTGGGAGCGCTCCAGGCCGGGCTGGACAGGGCTGGGAGAAGCCTGGTCCAGTGGAAGGTGTCTCTGCCATGGCAGGACCTCGGAACGAGGCTTTTATTTCAGGTGGTTTCCAACCCAAACCACTTTGTGACCCAGTGAGTCTAATTATGAAGCTCACCTGGGAGATGGAAACCCACACTTTGCCTAATTTGAAACAGAGGGCTGAATTTCCCACAAGTGGAAGGCAGTCCTCTGCAGCCTCCTAGCTACTGCGTATTTTTAACTATCTCTGTCTAAACATCTTTCTTTCCTTCAGTGTCTTGTGATTCCAAGTATCCCCCTTGCCTTCGTGTGCATCCCATAGATGCTGGATTTCTGGTATTGCATTTGGCATTTAGATCTCATCTTCTAAATTTTGAGAAAAAGTGGACATGTTCTGTTGTAATTTACAGAAATTAGTTGTATTGAAACTGTGTGCGTGTAATGTGAATTTCAGTATACTAAAAATTGGTATTTTTTTCCCTGAAAATACTCAGTGGGTATGTTGCAGCTTCAGTCAAGGTTCACCAAATCTGACAATGCCTAAAAAAGGCCTGTAATGTAACTTATTGCACTTAGTAGGAGACAATTTAACGGGGATCTTAAGCATAAAACAGTGCTAAGGGGATCTTAAATATAAACCAATTTAAAGAGGATCGGAGGCATAAAACAATTTGAAGGGGATCACAAACATAAAAATATTTAATGGGGATCATCACCATAAAACAATTTAATGGGGATTCTAAACATTAAACCATTTAAAGGGGATTATATATATGCTCTGTAAATAACATTTTGGGAGTATTTGTTTCCATTCAGGTTCTGCTTTTTCCTTCAGGAGATTTTCCTGGATCATGCCCTGTGTACACCAGGTACAGAAAAAGGATTATGTGGACATATTTCTATGATACAGAAAATTTGTGGAACAACATATGTCAGTATTAACTGAGTACAAATTAGTCCCTACACAGAATACACTCAGAATATACTTTCCAAATGTTTTTACTATAATACAAAAGGAAATGGCAGTTCTCATCTGTTCATCTCACAGTGAAGTTAAATATTTGAAGGGGAAAATAGATCTTTAAAAAATAAAAATTCTTTCTTAGAAGAAATTGACCAGTTGTTCTAACTGGTATCTTTGATGAGGGTATAAAGCCCAATTTATGCTGTTTTGATTTTTAAATTAATTGTGTATATGGGACTATGGCTCCCTTAAATGAAACCATAATTTTTCTACAAAATGCTCAGACAATGGAGGGAAGTGGCAAGTGTCTTGAAAAGGAAAGTTTTTGGTAGTGTTATCAGTATTTTGTGATTGTGATGCAAAGTAGTGTAAAGTGTTAATATTATTGTTTGTGTTACTGTTACAAGTAACCTTCAAAGGAAAAAAAAAAAAAAAGCTTTGTTCTTGTGCTGTTGTTATGCTGAATAAATAAAAGTTATTTTTTCCCCCTCAGAGGGAACATGGAAATAAGCACATGCTTTTATTCACTACTCAGGAAATGATGAGTCATTGCAAAAGGTACTCACCCAGAAGTGTTTCTCAGGCTGCCTCTGTGCAAGAAAATGGGAAGAGTTACTTCGATTTAATGCAATACAGCTAAATTTGTCCAGAGCACGGTGCGAGAGAGGCTCTTTCCACCTGCTGGAAGCTTCCTGCGGCCCCACTTGTGGAGCAGAGATGCTCTTGTGCTATCTTTGATGCTTTAATCCATGACATTTCCCAGCCACCCCGATGTTCTTTTTGGCAGAGCACGGTCAGCCCGACCCCAGAGCCTGCCGTTAAATCCTGGGTTAAAAACAAGCGCTTTTGGCGTCCTTGGTGGCTCCCAGGGGTGAGCAGGGCTGTGATGCAGGGTGACACCGGGCTGAGCTGCAGCCACACACCCCAGGGCAGGAGGGATTTCAAACCTGCCTGGGAAACGCAGGAAACAATGCGGAAAACCAAAAAAATGTTCCCCTTCTTGTCTTCGTTGTCTCTGCAGAATGCTGTGAAACCATACAGTGAAAGTGACTTCAAAACAAACAGTGACAGCATCACAAAAAGCAGTGACTATGTAAGAACTCCCATTATTTTGGTTTACACAAAAATGCCATAAACTGGCAGTTTTCAAGGTCGTGTTTAAGGTGCAATGTTCAAAATATAGGCTTCAAAATCTCTTTCCCTGCACGTTTAATTTGGTTTTGCTTTTAAGGAGTAATTGCTTTGTTTTGATCTTTTGTCTTTTGCAATTACACAGCACTTCCAAAAGAATATTGCCATAATTTGATGCAGATCCACAAGAACAACAGTAAACTGAGTAGGCACTAAATTTCCTTTTTTCTCCTCATCAATGCCATGTAAGACCTTTATCTCTCTGCATGCCATATACAGCAGAACTAATCACTTTCCCAACTAAAGCAAGGGATTTATAAATGAAGATTCTTCGGTTTCACTGTAAGGTACTGCTGGCACTGCACTAACTTCAAGGAAATCGGGTTTTGTAACAAAACACCTTCAGAAAGCTCAAAGTTTGGGGGGGGATTTTAAGAGTCAAAAATATAAAATTCCAATTGTCATCACTAAATACTCCCATAAAAGACCCAGCTTACAATCCTCTTAGAAAGGCAATGGGCCCTTTACTCCTGTACACAAGTTGACCTTTTTTAACAAAAAGCCCCCCAAAATACATAAACATATATGTACACACACACATATATATGTATATGTATAAATATGCAAAATTCCTGTTTCTCAGCAGCACCTGTTACCTGAGCCAGGCATTTCCTGGACTCATGACGCAGGTAGCTGCAAAACTCATGTTAATCCAGGGGTTTTGTCCCAAAAATTATGTCCAGCTATTTAAAAATGGTGCTGGTATCTTATGCTGAACACCAGAGATATTTTCTAGCAATGTAAACAACGGCTATTTATTCCCAAGTTCTGAAACCCAGACACAGAGGCACGCTGCAGTAAATTCCTGTATTTTTTCCCCAAAAGCATCAGCAATTTTGAACACTTCCATGTGAGTTTCACAGAGTGAATTAGAGCCTGCCTTCTCTCAAATATGTGATTTTAAGATATAAACCTGACCTGTACATATATTTTGAAACCACATTAATGTCTCACTGCCAGCTCCACAGCAACACATTTTATTTCAGGAGAGCATTTGAATAAACACAGAGAAACAAAATCAAATTAATTTATTTATGTGCAAGTCAGACTAGACTGATATAAACAACTTCACAGGGGACTAGCAAAGATACATAGGTAAAATTACTTACAGAAATTCATAGATATAGACTAATCCATACAGAGTAATCGAAATCACCACATAGCCATTTCCTGGTAATCCAGATGATGTCTTCTTTAATTTTATGTGATTATTCTGTTTACTGACATCCACAGATATTGCTCAGACATACTTCTTCCTTAAAAATACTTCTGGCAATTGCTGATGTTTTTTACTTTACTTAATAGTTTAATGAGTTTTAACAAATCCCAGTACTTCAGGTGGGAACTGGTCAGTGGGAAGATTTCTAAACACCAGAAAAGTGTGTCTCTGTGGTCCCAAAGAGTGTGTGGTCCCACTGGGAGATGAAATCCTACGGATCAATGAATGCAACTGCCAGCAACAAACCACAACTGAAAAATGAATCGTTTCTCCAAACTCACTGTAGAAATCACACAGCCAAGCCCGACCCTTTGGTGGTTACTGCCACTCACTTTATGAGTGATTAAATTAAATCAAGTACTCTGTTTAGCTATCCCAAGTATAAACAGGTAGTTTTCTTCCTCATGTGGAAAAATTTGTTCCTAATTTTAGCCAAGGACACCTTAGTAGATGACCAAAACAAAGAGAGCTCTGCCCTTCAATAACAATAAACAACTATTACATAAATCTCTCAAAGGAGTTGTAGGTAACAAAATGCAGTCTTGAATTTTAATGGGAAATCACGTAATTCAAGATTTAGGATTAAGAAATGTAACTAAGTGTTCTGTCACAGCTGTACCAACGCCATGTAAGAACCAAAAGTTAGTGTAATTTACTTTAGTGCTAACAGCCTGTAAAATGCTGTGCACAGCATCTGTTAGGTTAACAGAAGGGTTAACAAAATTCCCACAGGAACCCTGTGAGAGGAATGGGAAAAGGAGGACAAGAAGTTGACAAAGTAATGCTTCTCAGGGCATTAGCTTTTATTCAGAAGCTGAATTGTCCTCTGTGAGTGTGGAAGAAACGTTTGTATTTTCTGGTGCCCTCTGCGGTGTTTGGCAGCAGCAGTCCCGCAGGGACTGTCCCAGTCTGTGTGAATTCAGGGAACTGCAGCAGCCAGAGGGGCAATAAATGGTTATAATGAACCAGGCCAGGCTCTTCCTGCAGGTGGCTAGCAGGGGTTTAGCTTTTATCTCAGAAATTCCCACTGTGGAGGGCTCTGAGAGCTGCAGGGTCACACAGCCCGGTGAGGGCCGAGCCAGGTGCCATCACCCACCAGGCTGAGGAGCTGTGGGGAACGTCCCTGCAGCCCTGGGACAGCTCTGGGACAGCCTTGGGGACAGCCCTGGGGACAGCTCAGCACTGGGGACAGCTCTGGGACAGCTCTGGGGATAGATCAGCTCTGGGGACAGCTCTGGGGATAGATCAGCCCTGGGGACAGCTCTGGGGACAGCCCTAGGGATAGATCAGCCCTGGGGACAGCTCTGGGGATAGATCAGCCCTGGGGACAGCCCTGGGGACAGCCCTGGGACAGCTCTGGGGACAGCTCTGGGACAGCCCTGGGACAGCTCTGGGGATAGATCAGCCCTGGGGATAGATCAGCCCTGGGGATAGATCAGCCCTGGGGACAGCTCAGCCCTGGGGTGTCCTGGCTTGTAAGATAAGCATGGATTCTATCTGCCATCTGTTGGAGGCGGGGCAGGTTTCTTATCTCTCCCAAGAACAATGTCTCCCTCGGGGAGATCTCTTCTGTTAATGGGCTATTAATGACTCACTGCATGACTGGGAAAGTTACATCACCCCATGGTGAGATGCTCCACCCAGAGGGAGGAGCCAAGCAGCCCTACCTGCACAAAATCAGCATTTTTGGTACATCAGAACAGCCTCTTTGCTGGATTCCCAGAGGAGCAGTTTCTTCCCTGCTGGATCCCCAGAGGAAGACCAGGCCCATTTACTTCATCACCAGACCTTCAGAGAAAACTCCACCCTTCTCCAGATCCCTGCTCCAGCAGCATTTCATCTGCCACTCCAGGAGGAGCAGCCACCATTTAACTGGACTGTCACCAACACCCTGACTCCTCAGGGTGTCAGGTTCCTGACTCCATCACTAGTTTCATTTGTACTAATTACATTTGTTTTATTCTTGTTATTTTTTTTATTTAGTTTTTTTTCCTGGTAAAGAACTGTTATTCCCATTCCCGTATCTTTGCCTGACAGCCTTTTTAAAATTGTGGTAATTTGGAGGGAAGGAGTTTGCCTTTTCCATTTCATGGGAGGCTTTTGCCTTCCTTCACAGACTCCTGTCTTTTCAAACCAAGACATGGGGACAGCCCAGAGTGGGGACAGCCCTGGGGACAGCTCAGAGTAGGACAGCCAGGTGTGGGGACAGTTCAGGTGTGGGGACAGTTCAGGTATGGGGACAGCACGACTGGGGACAGTTCTGTCACTGTGGTAACACTCAGCCCAGCTGGCAGCACCAGCCAGGGCTGCTCGCTGGCCATGGCATGGCTCTGGCACTGCGGGGACATGGTGACCATGGGCAGGGTGACCATGGACACAGTGACCACGGGCAGGGTGACCATGGGCAGGGTGACCACGGGCAGGGTGACCACGGGCAGGGTGACCACGGGCAGGGTGACCAGGGGCACAGTGACCACAGGCAGGGTGACCAGGGGCAGGGTGACCACAGGCAGGGTGACCACAGGCAGGGTGACCACGGGCAGGGTGACCAGGGGCAGGGTGACCACAGGCAGGGTGAGCACGGGCACGGTGACCACAGGCAGGGTGACCATGGGCAGGGTGACCACGGGCAGGGTGACCATGGGCAGGGTGACCACGGGCAGGGTGACCAGGGGCACGGTGACCATGGGCAGGGTGACCACGGGCAGAGCAGCTGTCCAAGCAGTGCCAAGCAGTGCCAGCACAGCCCAAGCAGCCCCTGTCCCCTCCTGGAGTGTGGCACCCCGGGTCCCACGCTGCAAGCAGGTGACAATGAGGAAGGCACTACATTTCTGTTCGGGAGGCCTCTCTACACAGCGCCAAACAACAACTCCTGCAATAACCACAGCTGTGCTCAACATGGTCCTTCTGGCAGGGAAAGTGCATTTCTTCGAATGAAAAAATCCTCACATTTAAAGGGGTTTACAAAATACAGCACTATGGGGTCAGGCATTGCCTGCTTTGCATTCACTGTTCTATTCCAATGGCTTTTTTGAATTCAGAATTTTGTGGCTCAAAAATGTCATAATAAACCCTACTTTTATCAAAATTTTCTCGGATGAGAAGCAAATCTTCTACAGTATACACATCTTCCTTTCCTGTCCAAACAGTGAGGCTGTATCTATGTCCAGAAAAAGGGAGAAAACAAACAAAACAAAAAGAGTACGTTAGGATGAAGCATGTAAAGCAGAAAGATATTGCACTAATAGACTCCTAAAAATACTCAGGATTATAGCATCCTAATTTTAGAAATCTAATTAAATACAAACAACTGCACCCCCAGACCAATTTATCTGTGACTGTTCTACCAAACCTCAGAGGGCGTTAAATAAAAAACCACAAGTAAATATCCAGCAAAGAAATTTACCAGACTGAGCATTTAAGGTTTGATATATTAATTGTCACAAACTGAGCCTCAAAAGAGGAAAAATGATGCAATCCCAGACTCAGGTGATTGTTGTGCTCTGTGCTTTGTCACGTCAGTGATGCGTAGAGATGCCACCTAACCCAATTCTCATTAATTGCACAGAAATTCTGAAAAAACACTGAAATTCCCCTAAGATTATTCAGTTAAAGCATTACTTACACATCCTCCATATGACATATACTTACTTTTTCCCCTTTGATTAATAAAACTGTATTAATTTTAAAAATGGATAAATGAGAATTCAGTTGTATGTCAGCAAACTGGCTCAGGAATTTCTATCTTCTACTCATGTCACTGAAAAACATCCCTGAGTTTCATGAGGAGGTAAAAGAGAAAATCCTAATATTTCAGTGGGAATAATGTTTGTATCCAAGGATATTTGTCACTGGCACAATTAATAAGATACATTCTTAGTGCAGTAATACTTTAAAATCAATTTCCCAGTTTTAACAGCTTAATTCTGATTCCTGTCTTGAGTCTTCACCTTAAAAAAAGAATATCAGCACTTAATTTGTCCACCCTGTTGTTTCTGAATAGTTAGAAATTTTTCAGAGACTCTCTTTTTTGTCTTGGGCTTTGACCTTGATTGGAAGAGTTTTATTAAACTCTGGGCAGGCAGAGCAGTTGAAAAAGATGAGTAAATGGCAATATGTGGTAAGCTGGTTTTATTCTCATTCTATTACATGTGAAGAATTTTTATAATGAAATGGTTAGGGGTTGGTAAGAACAATTTCTAAAAGAAAACGTAAGTTGCTGTATGAAAACCACTGAATACCTTTCAAGTATCTTGGCAAAATTAATTACTTAGGAGGGAAATACCTGACTTCCAATCTAAAAATCACCTTTAAATTTTTCAGGAGACATTGAAACAAAAATTATGAATAGTGAATCCAACATGAAGTCTTTGGATTGGATGAATTCCTAGTTACAACATCAAACTATTTAGGGTATTTATTATATTCACCTGAGGAACTGTTTTCAGCAGAACTGGGTACACAACATTTAAAAGTCCTCAGAGTGGGTAAAGACAAAAGCTTCTGGAATTTAACTACTTTACAGAAATTAATAGTGACCACTTCTGCCTGAGGACTGAAACGCTCTGAGGCCTGTGGGAAGCGAGGCACCGAGAGAAGAATTCCCAATTCCAGCGCCAAGGGGTGAGCGTGGCACACGAGCGCTGGCCAGGCGAGGACAGAGGGGCTGGCACTGCCCGGGCTCTGCTGGCCGTGGAGCTGCAGGACTGTGGGAGCAGCACTGACCTGTGGCACTGCTGCAGCAGCCACTGCAGCTGCGGGAGCGACTCGGGCACCAGCGCAGCCCTGACCGCGAACGTCACCGGCTGGGACAGCGGCTGGCACAGCTGCCACATCTCCTGCACCTCGGGCCACCCGTACCCTGGGGACAGACAGGGCACAGAGAGCTGAGGGAGTGCCTGGGGACACACAGGGCACTCACTGACAGCTCACACACCCTGGGGACACACAGGGCACTGACAGCTCACACACCCTGGGGACACACAGGGCACTGACAGCTCACACAGCCCTGGGGACACACAGGGCACTCAGAGCTCACACAGCCTGGGGACACACAGGGCACTGACAGCTCACACAGCCTGGGGACACACAGGGCACTGACAGCTCACACACCCTGGGGACACACAGGGCACTGACAGCTCACACAGCCCTGGGGACACACAGGGCACTGACAGCTCACACAGCCCTGGGGACACACAGGGCACTGACAGCTCACACAGCCTGGGGACACACAGGGCACTGACAGCTCACACAGCCCTGGGGACACACAGGACACTGACAGCTCACACAGCATTGGGGACACACAGGGCACTGACAGCCCTGGGGACACACAGGGCACTGACAGCTCACACAGCCCTGGGGACACACAGGGCACTGACAGCTCACACAGCCTGGGGACACACAGGGCACTGACAGCTCACACACCCTGGGGACACACAGGGCACTCAGAGCTCACACAGCCTGGGGACACACATGGGAACTCACTGACAGCTCACACAGCCCTGGGGACACACAGGGCACTGACAGCTCACACAGCCCTGGGGACACACAGGGCACTGACAGCTCACACAGCCCTGGGGACACACAGGGTACTGACAGCTCACACAGCCTGGGGACACACAGGGCACTGACAGCTCACACAGCCTGGGGACACACAGGGCACTGACAGCTCACACAGCCCTGGGGACACACAGGGCACTCAGAGCTCACACAGCCTGGGGACACACAGGGCACTGACAGCTCACACAGCCCTGGGGACACACAGGGCACTGACAGCTCACACAGCCCTGGGGACACACAGGGCACTCAGAGCTCACACAGCCCTGGGGACACACAGGGCACTGACAGCTCACACAGCCTGGGGACACACAGACAATGGGTCTCTTTGGAGACACCAATCCTGTGCATCCAGAATTCCTGTTAACCTCAGAATTCCACCTTGAAACTGTTGCGTGGCTCTGAGCAACAAATATCTCATTGGAAAAATGCAAGAAATGCAATATCAATGTGGAAAATGAACTTGCTATGAAAACCTTTATTTCCCATACTGAACATACACGTTTACTTACTTTACATACTCCTACAAAACGTGGCATTTTTAATTTATCTTTGCCCTTTCTCTAAAAAACTCTGCTGCAACTGACTTCAATATGGCCTAATTTAACATTGTCAGGGACCCTTTAAATATAAAAGCATTAAGAAAAAGTTAGGACAGAAAATTAAATTAATCCAGTAGGAATGAAGCTATACACAAATCAAACACACATGGATAAAAATATTCTGTGCCTAAAAATGCTACAATCAAGCAATCTATGATACCGAAAGTGCTTTTGCTGGAGTTTTTATAAGGACTGGAGTTATTTCAAATTATATTTACCTGTTATTTTGTTTTTACAGGCTATGAAAATCCTGTAACAACTGTTAATTACTTTTCCCTCAATTACTCAGACTGAATCTAGTGACTAGAAAGAGTAAAAACACACTAAATATTAAAAAAAGTTTTCTGGGGAAAGCAGCAACTTCCAGGTGAAATCACTCAAATGAGCTGGTTTTCTAAAATTTTATAGTAGAACCTCACTTAGTATTCCCATAAACTGAAATTCAGAATGGAGATAAAATGAAATTTATTTTCACAGGTTACCCAGTATTTCTAATGCATTTCCAGCAACTTTTTCCTGCACTGAAAATACCTGGGAGAAAGAACTGAACACTTTAATAAGACTGCAATATGTCATATAAGAAAATACTAAATGTTGTTATTGAGTAAGTAGCAGTGGGAATGGTGTATAATCCTGCCATGGCGGCCTCAGACAATACTGGAGGGGACTCTGTTTCTCATAATGATATTGCAAGAGGAAGCCTGTGAAAGACCCCATAATAATGAAAACTGGAAAGTTTACTGCAAAAACACAAGTATCCAGGAGAAATGAAATGTTAGGGATAAGGCTGACCCACAATTTGATTTCAGTGATCAGAAAAATCAGAGATAAAGTTTCACGTTTTCAGCTGCTCTGATTCTCCTCAGGACTTGTGCCAGGGCTCCGACCACCAAATCAACGCTCCCAGGATTCAGGGACAGCCCTCCCTGACACAGAGGCTAAGGAGTTTGTGCTCCTTCACTCAGCAGTGCTCAGCAGGTGAGAAGGAGTAGAAGCACAAGCCAGCTTATTTTATGTGGGAGTCCAGGGCTTCCCTCTGTCTGCCCTGGCAGGTCTGGGACCCTGGCAGGGGTCAGGAACCCCCCTGGACAGAGCCCCCAGAGACACTGTCTGTGATCTCTGTCCATGGAAAAGAGTTTTCAATCTTACAGGATGAATTACAAGCTCTGAGTGTTTGATATAAGTAATAATTAAGTGTGGCACGTGTGCAAAAGTAAAATTTTAGGATTCTAGATGAGGGGATCGAAGAAGGCAAGATGAGGAATTGGGTGTGCCTTGTCCTTTTTCTCCTTCTTCATGCCCTCCATGTTTCACTGTGGTGTTGGCATTTTTCTGTTGGTTCAGGCTGGGGACACACTGTCCAACGTAGGTGACAGATATTGGCACGTTATTGTAAATCCAGCACAGGTAGTTTGTGGTATTTAATGTTTGTACCATCCCACTGAGGGCAGAGCCCCACACGCTGCCCTGCAGGACAGAGCTGCGGCAGGGCAGCAGAACATGTTAGAGATAAACAGAATAAACACCCTTGAAACAGCACAGACCAATTATGGCTTCTGCTTTGGCAGCGGGGCAGAAAGACAGAGACTTTCTACAAGCTCAGAATCATCAATACCACGGATTCTGACAATTTTAGGAGCACAGATGTGACTGTCACCCAGCTGCGGTGCCACTGCAGCTGTGCCGCGTGCTGCAGGGCGCTCTGTCCAGCAGCCCGGCACAGGACAGGGTTCCACAACCATGCAATTCCCAGGCAGGGCATGGCCTGGGAGCTCTGGGAAGAAGGAGCCGTGCCTTACCTTGGCCGCGGTGGCAGCCCGTGGTCCAGCCCAGGGACAGGGTGGCATGGGGGCAGGAGGAGGTGATGGTGCGCAGGAAGGCGCGGGCGTCCAGCGGTGCGCAGCCCCCGGGCAGGATGTCCCCGTTCAGCCACACGGGTCTGTCCAGCCGCTGCCCCACCTGCCCCAGCAGCTGCAGAGAGGGTCCCACGGCGGCCAGGCTGTGCCAGGACACAGGGCAGGGTCAGGGCGGGCGGTGTCACCACGCCGGGCAGGGCGCACCCGGCGCCCGCTGCCATCCGCTGATGGAGGAGTGACACCCCAGACCCGCACCCCCTGCGCCCTCACAACCCCCAGCCTTGTCACATCTCAGGCCTTAACAAAGGAAGCCACTGCAGTCTCTAACACTTGTGTTTCATCAGACCTGAAAGCCACAAATGCTCTGAGTCCGGTCCAAAGTGAAACCATCTCTCCCCGCCTTAACCACGCTCAAAGAGGCAAAGATTTCATCACTGTGTCAGACCCAAAGCTACCCTCAGATACAAGCAAGGTGAGGCACCCGTACTAGGAGAATAAAAAGCCCAACACAGACCAATTTAAGGCAACCAAAAGAGAGAAAAGGCACCCAGCTGGACATGCAATGCCTGGTTGTGGTTTGTGCCACATTTCCTAAGTGTGGCAGCACACAGAAGCCTGCCTGTCCAATGATCATCTGACAGCTAAGTATTAAATTGTTAAATATAAGCTGACATCACTTGAGGAACCAGTGCACACACCCTGTGAGCATTTAACAAAACCTATGGTCACGTATTCCTACTGTCCTGTCCAGCCAAAAGAAAAAGCACAACCAGCTTTTTTCCTACCTCCAGCCTAACAAAACCTTTGAAGCACTGTGGAAGGAAAAGAGATGGGAACAGTGGGGAAAATAAATGAACACCAAGAAAATCTTCTTTCTGCCACATCACATTAATGAATGCACTACGTAACATCAAGGAATTTAAAAGCACCATGGTCAGAGTTTTGGAATTAGGTTAGTTCTAAAGCAAACAACTAGTCCTCCGAGCTGCTTGTTTCCTCGGTAAAGTCACTTTGTGCTTTGTCTTTTGTGCTGTTGAGGCAGGAATTCACTCACTGGAGATGAGCTCAAGCTCTCTAGGTGAAAACCAGTGATGGCTGGTGTTAAGGGGTGGGCTGCAGCATTTCTGACACGGTCTGGGGCCAGAACACTTTATATCCTCACATATGCAAGGGACTGTCAGGGCCAGAGGAATGCCTCCCCTTGTACTGCAAAGTGAAAGCGAATGCAGTGAGAAAAAAGCACAAAGCCAAGTGGCAACAGGAAAAAAAAAAAAAAAAAAGAGATGAAAAAAACCAAAGCAAGACAACAACAAAGAAAAAAAATCCAATTCCAAAAAAACATGAACCCCAGAGAGCACTGGTTTTGCTGCACAGCATTTCGAAAATTCAGACTTACTGCTGGCTTCATGTGAAACGACTTTGGCATTTCTGAAGCGGGACACTGAAGACCTTTTGCAGAATATATTCATTTCAGTAGCCAAAGCCAGCAGGAAATGTAATTATTTGGTCAATCAGGCTGATAGAGCAGATATATAAAAAGTGTAAAAAGTACATTTTTAAAGCACCACTGAAATATCTCCAAAACATCAGCAATGGCATCCAATTAAATATTACACAAAGGAACATCAAATTCTGTTATCACTTATTTGACTCTATCCACACTGCGTGACGTACTTTTAAATATTTTTATATAAAAATACTTTCATAATGCCATGTAGTCTTAAAAGCTTTCTTGAATCACTCCACTTGGCTGTAAACTCCATGTGGGAAAAAAGTAAGGTAGGTAGTTTAAAATCACTTTAAACAATAATTATAATGGAGGAAAACCTTCGTAACAACTCACAAGAAATAAGCCCAAACAAGTGCCTACTGGTCTTTCTTCCCTTCTCTGCCCAGAAGGACACACACAAGATCCTCTGGCAACAAAAGGATTTAGCCTGCCGTATTTTGTACTTTCATGAACTTCCACATGAAAGCTGTGACTGTGTAACACAGAACCACAGGCATAAATCACATTTTACAACTATCTCGTGGGGGGGGTTTGCATTTCTGTACAGTACTTAAGCACTGATGAAGCCCTTTGTAATTTGTTGCCAAAACAGACTGAGCACACTGAAATTCAGACTAAGCAAGAGTCAGGAGCTGAAGGGGGGCATGTCTGGAAATCACAGCTCATTTCAAACTCTTTCAAGGAAATCTCATGGGGTTTTCAGGTGTGTTTGCCATTTGAGAAATGAAACAACTAATGGCTCAAACTGTGAATGAACGTTTAGTTAGTAAGGCCAGAAAAAGGAGCCCTCCAGAAAGGCACCAACATTTTACGTTCCCAATGGGAAAGTTCTGCTCACAGCAACTGAGTAAAAAAAATATCATTAATTGTAGCTCAAAACACTTTTAAAGGTTTTGTTCTTGCCATGCTTTGAGATTTATGGGCTGTGTTTCCACATGGATTATGCCTCTGAATGCATCATGCTAAACTGCACAACAAGCAGGAATTTGGTTGGCAACCACCTGTAGAATTGTAACAGGTAGGAATGCAAACAGCAGAACCATTTTTTGTTGAGGTACCTCTTGAAGTCCAGCTTGATGCCTTTGTTGGTGCCGACCATCAGCGCCAGCCACTCCTGCAGGGTGATGTCGCTGTCAGTGTCGGGGGGGTGAGCCAGGACGGGGTCCCCGTCCCCTCCCCGCAGGACAACATCCACCTCCACCATGTGCACGTCGCCTGCGGATTCAGACACTGACCTCAGCTTTCGGGGTGACAGTCTGCCCACGCCAGCCCGTGCACCCCCACAGCTCCAGCTGCCTGCGACTGAACCCCCACAAAGACACCGTTTGGGGGGTGCAGTCACTAGACTCTTTGCAAGCCTACAACCAAGTGAAAATTGATGTTTGAGGGTGCTTTTGGCCAAGCAATTGATGTTTGAGGGTTTTTTTCTTCACAGGACCAGAAAAATGTACATCCAACACGCAAATCCGCTGTTGTTAAATTTCAGGTGTTTTCCTCTGAAAACAGGGCTCCTGAGAGAGGATTTAATACTGGCAGATTTAATACTGGCAGATTTGATACTGGCAGACTGAGCATTGCCCTTGACTCATTGCCAAAACAGACAAGGAGAGTGTTAGCTCACACACAGGGCAGGCACAGGGGGTCTCAGCAGTGCTCAGGCTCCTGAAAACAGCTTTATGTACTGAACCTGGGCAGCGCTGCCAGCTTTGCAGAGAGCCCAACACACACAGGGAGGACTGAAACAAGAAGAAAAGAGCTAGTGATGGCATTCAGGATATAGGATATCATATATACATTTACACACGTATGTGTTTGTCAAGTATTCACATAAATTTACATACAACTCACTAGCACCCAGGCTGGCGCACCGGGGCCCTTCTGGCCCTGCACAGCCCCCTGACAAGAGAGGACTCACAGCGGGGATTTGGGATCTTATCCCAGGGAACAGGAGCAGAGGGAACGGCCTCAGGGCAGGCTCAGGGTGGAACCAGCAGGAATTTCCCCGTGGAAAGGGAGCTCAGGGATTGGAAGTGCCCGGGGAGGGTTGGAGTGCCCATCCCTGGAGGGATTTAACAACCGTGGGGATCCTGGAGGAGCGAGGGGGAGAGGAAAAGGAGGAGGAGGAGGAGGGGAAGAGGAAGAGGAAGAGGAAGAAGAGGAGGAGGAGGAGGAAGGGGAAGAGGAAGAGGAGAAGGAGAAGGGGGAGGAGGGGGAAGAGGAAGAGGAGGAGGAGGAAGGGGAAGGGGAAGAGGAGGAGGAGGGGAAGAGGAAGAGGAAGAGGAGGAAGAGGAAGGGGAAGAGGAGGAGGAAGAGGAAGAGGAAGAGGAAGAGGAAGAGGAAGAGGAAGAGGAAGAGGAAGAGGAAGAGGAAGAGGAGAAGGGGAGGAGGGGAGGAGGGGAGGAGGGGGATGAAGAGGAGGGGAGGGGGAGGGGGAAGTGGAGGAGGAGGAGGAGGAGAAGGAGGAGGAGGATGAGGAGGAGGAGGAAGGGGAAGAGGAAGAGGAGGAGGAGGAGAAGGGGGAGGAGGGAGAAGAGGAAGAGGAGCAGGAGGAGGAAGAGGAGGGGGGGAGGGGGAGGGGGAGGAGGAGGGCGGAAGGGGAAGAGGAAGAGGAGCAGGATGGGGAAGATGAAGAGGAGGAGGAAGGGAGAAGAGGAAGAGGAATAGGAGCAGGAGGGGGAAGAGGAAGAGGAGGAGGAGGAGGAGGGTCAGAAGAGGAAGAGGAAGAGGAGAGGAGGAGGAGGAGGAGGGTCAGAGGCGGAGGAGGGTGAGAGCAGGAGGAGGAGGGCCGAGGCACACTCACTTCGCGCGGCCTGCTCCGCCCGGGCGCGGCTGTTGGCGGCGTGGAACCAGCGCACGGCGGCGCCGTCCCGGGCCGCGATGTGCCCGGTGCGCAGGAAATGATCCACGGGCCGCTCGCCCCAGGGGCCTGCGGGGACACGGCGGCACGCTCAGCACGGCCCGGCACGGCTCGGTTCCGACAGCCCCGGCCCGGCTCCCTCAGCCCCGGCCCGGCCCAGCCCCGGCCCTGCCCCGCGCTCACCGCCGGCCCCGCTCGCCATGGCCCGGCCCGGCCGGACCCGCCTCCCGCCGCCTCCCGCCCCCGGGCCGGGCGCGGTGACACGGTCACGTTCGGGCTGTGCCGGAACCGCCCGAGCGGGGATGGCTCTGTCACTGTCACAGTCCCTGTCCCTGTCACTGTCTCTCTGTCACTGTCTCTGTCACTGTCACTGTCTCTGCCTCTGTCACTGTCTCTGTCACTGTCTCTGTCTCTGCCTCTGTCACTGTCACTGTCCCTGTCACTGTCACTGTCCCTGTCACTGTCTCTGGCACTGTCACTGTCTCTGCCTCTGTCACTGTCCCTGTCTCTGTCACTGTCGCTGTCTCTGTCACTGTCTCTGGCACTGTCTCTCTCTCTCTCTCTCACTGTCACTGTCTCTGTCACTGTCTCTCTGTCTCTGTCACTGTTACTGTCTCTGTCACTATCTCTCTGTCACTGTCTCTCCCTCTCTGTCACTGCCCCGTCACTGTCTCTGTCACTGTCTCTGTCACTGTCCCTGTCTCTGTCACTGTTACTGTCTCTGTCACCGTCTCTCTCTCTCTCTGTCACTGTCACTGTCTCTGTCCCTGTCACTGTTTCTGTCCCTGTCTCTGTCACCATCTCTCTCTCTCTCTCTCTCTCACTGTCTCTGTCTCTGTCACTCTGTCTGTCTCTGTCTCTGTCTCTGTCCCCTCTGCAGCCCAGCCGGACAGGCCTGGCCCGTACCAGGCGGCGGCTGCAGCCACGGGCAGCGCGGCCCGAGCTCCGGACACTGCAGGACGGTGGGCAGACACGGGACAGGACACAGCCCCGGCTGGGCCAGAGCAGGCTCGGGGTGGAACCAGCAGGAATTTCCCATGGAAAGGCAGCTCAGCCTGGAAGTGCCCAGGCCTTGGAAGAACGGCCTCAGGGCAGGCTCGGGGTGGAACCAGCAGGAATTTCCCCATGGAAAGGGAGCTCAGCCTGGAACTGCCCAGGGAGGGTTGGAGAGCCCAGCCTGCATGGCAGCCGAGTTACTGCTGGCACAGGGCAGTGCCAGCTGTCTGTCTGTCTGTCTGTCTGTCTGTCTGTTTGTAAGGAGTGTAAGTTCTGGCAGGGAGAGGGCAGGGGCTGAGCTGGGGCAGCCCAGGCCTGCCCAGCACTGATGGAGCACCCAGTGTCTCACTGCAGGGTGTCACTGCTGGCTGGTGGCACACTGAGCAATGAATCCCATTTTTGGGGCAACATCGGGAGTCCCAGAAAGCTGCACAGACAGGACACGCCCATTCCAAATCTGTCTTTGTTTCCTTATAAATAAGAGGCAGAAGGTTGCAAGCACTGTAGTTAACTTTATTGATCGTTATTGAAAAGTAGTTAGTAGAGGTTAAGTGCCAAGAGGCAGCTGCTCCTTCAGGTGCCCTGGCCCTGTCACAGACCAAAAACACTCTTCAGCCTCTTGCTGGGGCTCCCTCGAGGGCCTGGGTGCAGCTTATTTTCAACAAGGACACGTTTTGTTTGTACTGTGCGTGGGTTCAGCCCTTCTCAGAAGTCAGCACAGAAGCTGACATGCAGCTCAGCTCCATCCAGGGTAAGATCTCAATGCCTGAACCCTTCTAGGACTGGAGTGTTAAAGCATGTGGAACACCAGAGCAGATCAGGTTAAATTACAAATTGTTTTTGATACAAAAACATAAAATATCCCCTATTAGCATCAAGAAGGCATCCAAGTTTTAATACTCTGAATATAAAATTGTACCAGCATTTTTACTGAAAACAATATAGATCTTGTATATATTTAGTTTTGGTTCTGTTCTTGACAAGTAGTTGTGTGGCTGCTACCAAACCCCAACCGCAGTTTGATGAACCTCAGTACAAATCACATGCATCACAAATACATAAATAGATCTAAATGACCCAGTATAAAAAATACATCCTATCCAAGAACCTCAGGTACACCAAAAATCCCAGAACGGTTTGGGTGGGAAGGGACCTTAAAGAGTGCCCACCCCACCTGCCACGGGCAGGGACACCTTCCACTAGAATCCACCTGTGTGTGAAAATTCCGACTCAATACATCCGTTCTCCCTGAAAGCAAAGGTGGCTACTAAAATGTGGCAAAAGCAGTAGACAGGAGCAGAAAAAATACTGCAGAATTCATGTCTGACTTATTGCTACATGTCGATTACATCAAGGGTAATCTGTTTTTTCCTAATCCTTGAAAGGTCAAATTGTGTATGGAATTCTGAACACAGAGTAAAGAAAAAAGCACTTCTTATAAAAATAGCATCCATTTAAGTTAGATAAATCCTTATAAATACAAGAAAGAAAACAGTTACTCTACAAAATATTGAGAGCATATGTTCCTGAAGCACCAGCATCACATCCCCAGGTAAGGACCTCAGCGAGGTGTGTACGCACACAGCCACAGCGCTGCCAGAGCTGCCCACGGGCTCCAGCAGCTGCAGCAGGGCTGGTCTGAGCCCCATGGACAGGACAGGGTTTGGGCCAGCCCTGCTCCAGCGTTCAGCACATGCAGGACCACACGGAGCCCCAGCAACTCGAGTAACGACTGGTGTGAGCCTAGGAGGTGAGATCCTGTGATTGGAGCCACACCACCCCTAACAAGGGCTGCAGCTGTGTGAGTAACAAAGCCTGCACTCTTCTGCACCTGTATGCAGTGTCAACGAACTGCATGACACAAACTAACTCTTTTGTGGTAGAGGACGCAGAGAGGATCTGAGGGGCCTTAAAAAAACAGTTTGGAAAGCTATTAAAACATAAAAGGTTTAGAAAGTTTAACATTTTTAGTGTTTGTAGCATTACAACTTTGGTGTTCAGATCTAGCAAATCAGTACGTGCATGTCATCAGCCTCATCCGGACAGGTGCTCTATAATGAAAAACACTAATTCAATTTTCAGTGGCAGAGCTGTAGGGTCTGACATTCCACTGTGAACCACAGGAATCAGAGCGCTGTCCAAGTCGTTCAGGTAGCTCTGCGGGAGAAGGTGCCCTCCAGATCCTGCTAAGTATTCAACCTAGGAGGGAAACAGACTGATATTAATTAATTAACACTTCTTGTATTACCAACGCTGTGCAAAACATGCTGTAACACAGTAAAAGAGTATTTCAGCTACCATGAAGTGAGAAAGAAATTACTAAGACAGCTTCTTCCCCAAACGTCATCCTCAGCCTGGATCTTGGGTAGGGCAAACTAAACATTCATGGAGAGATCCAAGGTATTTACATGGGAAGATACTTCAGTGGAAACGGAGTGTGTGCAGTAAAAGTGGAAAGCTTACCATGTCTGAGTCAATGGAAACTCTGAGTCCTATCTTATTCATCCCGTTATTTTTCAAGGTTTTAAGGTGAGGCCAAAGAGCAGTGCTGCAGGCAATGGCAATCTCTTTTGCAAAATCGTGGGGAACAGCACTGGAGAGCTCATGGTCCTTTGCAAAATAGTAAACCTGAGATCAGAGAAAGGGAAGGGCAGTCAGCAGCCTGGTACATCCCCAAGTTAGGAGGAAGAGTAGTTTAGGGTCACATAACACCAGACAGGGCTGGCAAAGCACCCGAGCATTTCGTCCACAAAATCAAAATACTTCAGGAGCCATGGGAATGCCTGCATTAGGCATTTACAGAGCTGCCACTGCCAACAGACTTCAGTCTTTTTCAGAGGAGAAAAATCACAAGTGTGTAAACTCACCAAGCAGCTGCAGAGAACATTCTGTCTGGCAGGATGGCTACACATAAAATCAGCTCATTTTAATAGTATCACTTAGTACCATCACATTACCATTTAAATATTAAAAAAGTCACAAAAAAGGCTCAAGAACTATGTAATTCACTAACTTCAGTGCACTTCATAACTTTTCCTTCTTTCTTGAAGCCTCTGTATTGTGGTGCTTTTTCACTCCGAGTTCCTTCCATTGATTCTCCATCAACTGGGCTTAAAATTCTATGGAAAACAATAGTGTGATTAGTAATTTAAACAACACTTACAGTTTAGATACAATAGCTTCTATGAAATAATATTTACCCATCCTTTAAGGCTATTTAAACACCTTTACAACAAAATACAATACAGGACTTGCACTATGAAAATACAGATAATAAAGGGAACTAACACCATTAATAGAAACCTAATCTTGCAGGTTTAAGACACTATAAACCATCTTTGGTATCAAACACTTTCTGTCACAAGCATACTTTAGATTAATTTCAAGAAACTAAAGGGAGATATTTGAACATTGAGAGCAAGAATTCTCTCAGATGTCTAGCTTTGGTAGTACATTTACCCTTTGTTTGTTTTCTCTTCATCTTCTACCCAGCAAATATCTACATATTCTTTCATGGCCCCTGCATCCACTTTTCCACAGGTTATTTTGAAGTCCTTCTTGTCTCTTAATGCCTGACGTAGGCTTTCCATTGTTTCTTGTGTTATTTGTACCATTAGCCCATCTAGAAGAAAATGAGTTAAAATTCCACATTATCCAAAGGAAAAGCAGCACAGCTTCTTATAGAATCTTGGCTTAAGTTCTACTGAGACCAACCATCTCCTACAGCTAATTAATAAATGCACGAAAGTACTCCATACCCCACCTACACCTCTAAATGTTATATGAAAGTGGAAGAAAACCTATTTTGTCAATAGAATTCTAACTAAAATATAATTTTTGTTTTAATTTTTGATTTATTTTTGCATATATGTGCCAATATATGTATTTCGGCAATATGGCAATGAAAATAATTCCATAAAAGGAAAGACCTGCACTGATTAAGTCTGTCTAAAGCTGAATGTTTTAGAACAAGTAGGTGAACTACAATGTATTTTTATGCAGCATTTCTTTGCAACAGGTTTCTTACAAAACTTAAAAACTGAAAAGAAATGGTTAGCTTACTGAGGCATAAAGACCTTGCACAAGATTGCAGCTTTTTTTTTTTTTTTTCTTTTTAAGTCTCTTAAGAGGAGAACAGAACAAAATTCTTACCTTCAACTATACTGGATTTAGCTAAAAGTCCTAAGGATGTTTTTAAGGCTCCATTAAACACAACAAAACTTGCACCTGTAACTAGAAAACA